CCGTGGTGCGAATAGTGTTAGGCCACACGACACACGCGCCGCCACACACAACATGCGATGGTACGCACCCAAAGTGTGTCCGCCTTTCAGCTCCTCGGCCTCGCATATGCGCCCGAGGTCGGCCATGAGCAGGGACTGGTTCTGATTGATGCCCGCCAGCACGATGCACACCGTATGGCAGGCGCCGCACACCACGCTCTTCACTGTCTTGTTCTTGAAGGCCTCCACCAGCCGCGGCGAGGGCTCGTTCGTCATCTCACCGTGTCCCAGCGCACCTATTGGCACAAAAAACACCGAAAAAGACTCTCATTCGTCAGATAAATGCCCGCGCTGGCTTGGTGTGTGGTGGTTTGTGAGTTATGTACCGGTCGAGCCGTCGCCCCAGGTGTAGAGCACGCCGGTGTCGGAGACGCACGCGGAGAAGTAGTCGCCGCAGCTGCACGCCACGATCTTCTTGCCGGCCAGGGCCTGCACCCGCTGCGGCTCCGCCAGCTTAGCGCCCACCTCCCCGTGCCCGAGCTGGTTGCGCGTCGCAGAGCCCCTGCAACACAACGGTGGTTCAGCATTTCAGTGTTGAGTGTGTGCATGTGTGTGTTTGTGTGTTGGTGTGTGTTTGTGTGTTGGTGTGTTGTGTGTGTGTTGTGTTGTGTGTGTGTGTGTGTGTGTGTGTGTGTGTGTGTTGGTGTGTGTGTGTGTGTGTTGGTGTGTGTGTGTGTGTGTGTGTGTGGTGTTGGCACGTACCAAGTGTAGAGTTCACCCGCGTCTGGCCACGTCAACACAATACCGCAATGTGGAGTGGTGGTCAGTAAGACGATGAAGAACGCAAGATTGAGCGGAGGAGTTGATGAATGGCACAAGGGGGTACCAGTGACGCAGGCCATGTGTTCCCGCCCGCAGGCCACGGAGATGACGCGCTTGTTCTCGAGCGCGCCAAGCACCTTCTCAGGCTTGGGCTTGATCGGATTGCTCGCTCCCTTGTGCCCCAGCGGCCCTATGCCCCACGTGTAAAGCTCGCCCGTGTCTGCAAAGAAAAATTCACCACAAAATGAAAACAATAATAAATACATAAATTAAATAATATAAAAAAATACTGTTCGGTTGGTGACTGAGCTGAGAGGGTGGAGGAGTGCACGGACCCGAGAGCGCAGCGCTGTAGAGTTCGTTGGCGGCAATGGCGATGATGGAGTGGTGTGGCGGGAGGACCTGGTGCTCGGTGCTGGGAAGGCCGCCGAGCCTGTGGTCCCGCTGCACGACCCAGCCGTCCTCGAGCAGCGCCAGAAAGTGAGTGCCCGTGGCGACCACCTGCCTGGCCGAACCCCACTTGTCCGACGGCTGAAAGTCCGAACCCTAAAAAGTTGTTTCGTGAGCGACCACCCGCACCAACCCTTGCATGAACATGCTCTTAATATATCAATATAAAACTTACAAATATAGAAATGTAAAACTTACATATGTGCACATATGCTATACATATATGAATGAGGAAGAGAGGCAAGTACCAACTGAGAGAGCAGACATTCGCCGTTGTCGAGGACGACAGTGCTGTACATGGCGGGGGATGAAGAACACGAGATGTGTTTGGCCACTTTACCAGTCAACTGCGGGATCTGGCGCGACGTCGTCGAATGCACCAGCGCACCCGGTAAAACACCCCTGGGACGCACACACGCACACACGCACACACACACACGACACACACATACACACACACGCACACACACACGACACGCGCCGAGACATCAGCGTGGTCAGCGAGCAGATTGAGCGTAGTCTGGGTGCAAGGGAGCATGCACATACCATGCGTAGCACTCGCCGTTCTCTAAAGAAGAAAAAGAAAAGAAGGAAAAGATCGAACAGGTAAGTGCACGGACGACATAAAGCAGGACAAGGAGGAGGAAGAGGAGGAACGAACCGAGAAGCTGGTAGGTTGAGGATGCGCCGCACGCGATCTGTTTGACGCGTCTGCGGCCTTGGAGGCTTTCCACCAACGCCGGGATGCCTATGTTTTTGGCTGTCGTGGCGTAGCCCAGCTGGCCTGCAGGCAGGGAAAGGAGTCAATTATAAATAAATAAGTATTTACTTTGAGGACAAATGATAAGACTTCAAAATAATGCACAAAAGGAAGAGACCAACGGACAAAATGAAACAAAAAGACAATAGGTTGAAAAGGAAGGAGGACAGTACCGTACTGAGTTGGAACCAAACGAATAGACTTGGAAGG